TGAGTGGCAAGTAGATATTATTGTGCCTGAATGAACCAAAGTGGACAAACACCACGCACTGATAATATGTCAAAGTTTCTTATTGTTTTGAGATTAGTTTTTACTTGAAAGGGTTACAGAAAGAGAAGGAGAGTTAGAGATCTTCCATCCACTGGTTCGTTAACCAGCTGGTCATAAAGGCCAGAGGTGGGCCATCCAAACCCTGGAGTCTCTCACTTGGATAAAGGGACCTGAGAATGTTGTCATTTGCTGCTGCTTTTCCCGGTCATTAGCAGGAAGTAGGCAGGAGTAGAGCTGGAATTCATATAAGATGCCTGTGCCTCAGCTGGAGAATTAGCTTGTACACCACACTGCTGACATTTGAAAGTGCTTTTGTCTTTTTCAGTTTTTTAGATGGTGGATGATTTTATTTAATATGTTTCATCTAATTTCTGTACTTTTCAAATACTTTCATATATATATATTTTTATAATGCTGACACAATTAATTACATGGGATTTAAATTTAATACTTATCTAATTTCTGTGTTTTCCAAATACATACATACACACACATACATATATATCTATGTACATATGTAATAATATTATTTTTAATGAATGGGTTCTTTTTTTTTTTATTGGAAAGGTGGATATACAGAGAGGAGAGACAGAGAGGAAGATCTTCCGTCCGGTGATTCACTCCCCAAGTGAGCGCAACGGCCAATGCTATGCCAATCCAAAGCCAGGAGCCTTTTCCAGGTCTCCCATGAGGGTGCAGGGTCCCAAAGCTTTGGGCTGTCCTCGACTGCTTTCCCGGGCCACAGGCAGGGAGCTGGAAGGGAAGCGGGGGCTGCCGGGATAGAACCGGCGCCCACATAGGATCCTGGGCATGCAAGGCAAGACCTTAACCACTGCGCCACCGTGCCGGGTCCAATAATATTATTTTTAATGCTTACATAGCTCATTATATGGGAGGAGTCGAAGATTAGGGGCAAGTGGTTGAGACCATTATTTCCACATTTTATTTTTTCTTCTTCCTGATTCTGAAAGGGAAAGATAAGGGGAGAAGCCACACCCAGCCTCCTAGCCACCTCAGTGCCCCGGGTAGGAAAACAGCCATCCCATCATCTCAGGGTCTCTGATGTAGAGCATGTTCTGAGGGTTCTGTTGAAATTGTTTCAGTAGTTCTGACATGCTGTCAATCCCATAGATTCAAAGATGAAGAAATATTTTCAAGGTCCATGGCTGACATAGTCTCTCTTAGTCTCCATTCACCTAGAAATTTGCTATCAAGCTTCAGTGGAGGTAGTTAACCAATTTGTTCTACCCTTCTTCCTCTGTTATGGCTTGCAGATGCCATATGTCTCCAGATGTCCTTGCAGGCTGCAATGGACTATCACAACCTCCATACATATGCAGAACTGAGGAAACCCAGTTCTGACAAATGCACCCCACTCTCAGATCAGAGGTCCTGCCATTCTTCCCATAGTTGGAGTTATGAGTCCAATGATTAAGTTGGGGGGACCCTCAAAGAAATCTTATCTAAGGCGATCTCATGTGTGCCTCTAGTACAGGGTCAAGCTCATTCTGTCATCCACATCAGCCTACACACACACTCACTGATAGTTGCAACTGCTAGATCAGATCTATTTACAGCCTCTTCTCTCATGCAAACCAATGGATGCTGTGGCTCAGCTCAACCCTGCCCACTACACACTTGGCTATCATATACATAATGGGAGCTGTGGTTCAGTCACAACAATCTCCAAGAGCCCTGACTGGGCTGTCTCCCAACCCTGGTTCCTGTGCTTCCAGTATGTACAGTGGATTGGTCTAGTCTATTCCACATCTTATTCAACTCTTATACACATCATTTGGCATTGAAGCCTAACTCAATCCTACTGACTCTATCCTCCATCCTTCACTAATGCCAACAAGTGCCACCACCTGGCTAGCCAGGTCCACACCCAATCTTGGTTGTCATGCTCACCAGTGGGGGTTGCAGCCTATCAGAGAAGTTCCCACAGTTTCCCTACTGGACTCTCTCCTGACCTTGGATTTTGAACTCCCCAGGTGGTTCTGTACTATAGCTTGACAGGGCTAGCCTTCAGTCCCAGCACTTGCCAGTTGATGCTGTGGAAAAGCCAATCCAACCTGTACTTACTATGCACCAGTGGATGCAGTTAACATAGCCTGGCTCTCTAGCCCAGTTCACATGCAGGCCAACACTAGTTGTAGCCTTGCATGACCTTGTCTACCCCCAGTCTCAGCTCTCACAGGAATACTGACCCAGCAAAGCTCCCCTAGTAGGCTCACACCTGTCCCCCACTCCCATGTATCTCACATGTGCTGGTAGTACTGTAGTCCCTTCTGGCATGGCCCTTCTAACCTTGGCATATGCCAGTGGATGCTATAGCTTGGCCTGGCCTGGTCTTCCCCCAGTTGCATCCCATGCTGATGGGTGCTACATATGCCCAACCCCAGCCCCTAGTCCTTGTCCTAATGTAAACTGGCTCATGCTGTGGCCTGAACTGGCCCGTCCTGTACTCTATTCTGATTCTCAAATCTGCCAGTGGGTATTATTAACTGGCCCAAGCTGGCTCACCCTCAGACCTAAGCTACACATATGCTGGCAGGCAGTGTAAACTGGCCTGGTCTGGACTACTGGACGTAGGCAGTTGAAGGCAGCATTTTGCCAGAAAAAATAAATTTGTAGAGATTTGTTGTTTTCTTTTATTTTACAAAGTATAAATTTTAATAAAATAAAATAAGAAAATAAAAATAGTTCTATCTATTTTATTAGACTAAAAGATGAAAATAGGAAAATAATTGACGGTAACAAAATATCTTCAAACTTATTCTATATTTTATTAAATCTGATGAATATATTCTCTATATTCTTTCTTTTTTGTAAATTTAGTCTTTTTTCCCCCTCTACTTTATATTTTTAAGTTTATGGTACAATTGCATAACCACATGAGTTGATCTGGCTGCTGCTCTGGTCAAATGCTATAGATGTAGCAAAAGGATATAATGTTTCAATTTTATTTGTGTTTGGACAACAGCATGGAAACAAAAATTGACATATGCTTATGTAGAGATTTTCCATTTGTTTTTTAAATGAAGTTTGATAACTTCTCCTTCCCCCTCCAAAATAAGTTAGGATATTTCTCTTTTCTGTATAGAAGATTATAAGAGCAGAGAATCTGTTTTACATGATAATGGGAACTTCTGGTGCAAAGATTTTTTTATAATCCACTTACAATTTAATACTCCCTTTAAAAATCAGCAAATTTAACATTTCATATTTACCATCCCTTTTTCTACCTGCATATTTGCATTTGATTTGAGGGATAGATTTTTCTTTCTTTTTTTTTTTTTATTACTTTGCATCATGAGACACAGTTTTACAGGCACTGGGATTCCCCCCTCCCCTCCCCAAAACCCGCTCCCCCCACCCCCATGGTGGATTCTTCCATCTTGTTGCATTACCACAGATCAAATTCAGTTGAGATTTTTTTTCCTTGCAAGCATCTACAAAGCATAGAGTCCAGCATCTTATTGTGCAGATAAGTTCAACAGTTTCATGGGAAGACAGTCTCTGGTCTGAAGGTACAGCCGAAAGAGCATCAGAGAGATAGATTTTTCAAAGTAGTATCCTTAATATAAACACAGCAAATTTCAAACCAGATTCTTCCCCAAAAGCTACATGCCAAGCATGTTCCTGCAGCATGCACAGCTTGTCGCCGAGTGCCCAGTTTTCCACTTTCTCTCTCTGTTCGATAATTGTAGCCAAGTATCATCTCCTTTCACACATTTCTACCCTAAAATTCATAGTTCAGCAGGATCTGTTGCTTATACCATTCTCTGTAGTAAGCTGTTACAATTCTTTCTTTAGTTTATGAACTGAAAATTGTCAACAAAACTCAAATCTTCTCAAATCTACCATGCTAAAATTATCCAAAAGTCTATTATTGCTTGGGGAAGGAGTAAGCTTGATTTCTTCACTTCTGGAGTAGTGGATCTCACTGGGGAACTGAGAAATAAAGCAATAAAGTTGTGGGAAATGGCTCTGAAGCATGAAGGGTACAAAGCATCTGACTGAATCCAGGCGTGAGTGTAGGCTGTCCTGCAGCAGAACCATTTCAATAGAGACCTGTGATCTTGCTCTGTGGCGAGCATCTGGGAGTTTGGATTAGGGAGTGGAACAGTGTTCCAGGATGACCAAATAAGCATGTAGATGGGGATCTGGAAGGTGAGGCAGCAGGGCCATTAATTTCTAGAAGGCAATTGATTTTTTTAGGACGCAATCTTGAGTGAAGGGGAATCAGAAAACATCCAGGAGACAGATTTTCAAGTTGATGTAAGGGGACAGTCCTGAAGCCAGTGGGTAGCAGGGCTGTTGACAGTTCTTCTGGGAGTCTTTTTTTTTTTTTAAAGAAAATTATTTCCATATTGTTTTCTTCATGTATCTGAGGTTAAGGGGGGTTTTAAGGGAGAAGCTCCACCCAGTCTCCCATCCACCTCAGGTCCCTGATGTTGAGCATGATCTGAGGGTCTTGCTCAAATGGTTTTGATAGTTCAACAGTTATGAATTGCTGCCAATCTTGCCATTCTAAGCGCGATGAGGTCATTGAAGAATCCACTGATTGATATAGTCCATCTTAGAGTCTCCGTTTGCCCAGCTTTTCACTGCCAACATATGGCTGAGGTGGTTGACTGACTTATTCTGTCCTTTGTCTTTTCGTGGTTAGAGTTCTGAGTTCGGCAGTTTGATTGGGGAGCTACCCAGAGACTTTGTCTGAGGTGTTCCCAGACAAGATTCTTGTATGTACTAGCAAGTACAGGACCCGGCACAGTCCACTACCCTAATCAGCTGGTGGTTGCAATTTCTGGGTCGGTTCTGTTTCCAGCCCTGTCTTCCACTTGAAACAATGGGTGTTGCAGTCCATCCTGGTTCTGCCTAGCACACACTCAGCCCTCACATAAACCTGTCTGAGCTGCAGCCTAGTTTGAGAGAACCACAATAACACTCACCAGACCCACCCCTATCCTGGTTTGCCAGTATGTGTAACAGACTAGTCCAATCTGTCCCACATCCCCTTCTGCTCTCCTACATGTAAATGGGTATTAAAACCTAGTTCAACCCAACGAGCCCAACTATCCAGCCCACGTATATGCTAGCACCTGCCTTTCTGTCTAGCCACCCCAGCCCTGTCCTAGTTTTTGTGCTTTCCAGTGGGGGTGATAACCCAAGAAGGAGGAGCCCAGTATTTCCCTTCTAGGCCACTCCCACTCCCAGATCATGCACTCTCCAGGTGGTTCTGCAGTTTAACTTGACAGAATTAGCCCCCTGTGCCAGCATCTGCCAGTTGGTACTGCGGCAAAGCCCAACCAACTCTCACCCACTCTAATGTATGCTTGCATCAGTAGGAACAGTCAGCCTGGACTGGCTTTTCAGTAGTGTATGTGCTGCTGAAGTGAGCATCCAGCCTCACTTTTCCCTGATCCTGCTCACATGAGGTGCATAGGCCCTGCCTAGACTGGTCTCCCTCTCATCCTAGTTCACGTTCTCCAGTGGGAGTAGCGATCCAGCAGGGGAGCACCTCCATATTCCCCCTACTGGCTCCGCCACCCCCCTTCCAGATTCTCACATATGCTGGTTGGGCGCTACAGTCACTTCTGGTACAGACACCCTCACATTGGCATTCCATAATGTGCACTGGTTTTTGTTGTGACCAAACCTGGCTCAACCCACACTCTGTTCTGGTGCTCGGATTTGCCAGTGAATGATGTGAACTGATTCAGCCTGATCTGTCCCAGACCCATGCCAAATATATGCCAGTGGGAAACTTTCCATGGCCTGTTCTGGGTTGTTTTCTTCCATGCTTCTTGCACTTACCTGCAGGGTTTATGTCCTGCCAGAGGAGTTGCCCAGGCTCTTCCATCAGAACCTCTCCCAGTGTCAAATTTTGCACATACTAGTGGGTCCCTGGACCAGTCCTACTCAGTTTACCTGCTGCCCTAGCAGGAACAGTGGCTTTTCCTGACTCGCCTTCAACCCAATCTGGTTTTTACTGTTGGATGTTTTAGCCCAGCCATGGCTTGTCCATACCCACATATAGCTCACCTAGCCTAGTCCATCCCACATCTACCCTGGTTTTCCAGAGCACCAGATGGTGTTGGTGTCTAGCCTAGCTTGGTGCATCCAGTCCCAGTCCACACTTGTGCTAAATGAGACTATAACCATATCCTGATCAGAACACAATCCCCATTCCAGCCCTGTGCTCCTTGGTGGGAACATCAACCCAGCCAGGGTTTTGCCTTAGCTCCCCAACTGGGCTTGTTCCCAGCCATAGGTCACATGCATGTCAGTGGTTGCTCTGACTGAGCTTAGCACTGCCCCTGACCTGTCCTGGCCTTTTCCTTACACACTGTGGCTTAGCATCCCTGAATCACACAGACCAGTAGGTCCAAGAGCCTAGCTCGGCATGACCTGTGCTCCATCTTGATTTTTAATTTTGCTTGTGGGCTAAGGTTTGCTGAGTCATACACGGTCCACCCCATTCTATTGCCATCTCATACATTGACCAGCCATTGGAGCTACTTTGCCTAGCTTGTTCAATCCTCCAGGTCTGGATCATGTGTATAGTAGCAGGAGCTATGACCTGCTAGAGGAATTTCCCAAGTTCCTCCACTTGATCCACTCCCAGACCCAGTTCTCATGCATATCATTGGGTTTTAGGCCAGGGTCCTGCGTAGTCTGGCCTTCTTTTTGGCCTTGTATGAGCTGGTGAATGTTGCAGCCTGGCCCACCCCACACCCTAATCAGGATGCACATTTGGGTGCTGCTGCCTTGACCAGTCCAGGCTGTTGTGGGTTCCTTTACCTGTGAGTGATGGCAGGCTCCTTGGTCACACCTGGTTTAGTTCATCACCTCTTCAACCCTTGAGCTAACTAGTGAGGCTAGTATTTCCATGGGGTTTGGCCCACACACCCCCAAGAAAATCTACCCCCAGATATGGTTCTTGAGTACGCTACTTAATTTTATGGCCCTGAATAATATGACTCATTTCCTGATCCATCATCATGTCAGGTAATAGGATATTATACTGCTAAACAAGCCCGGATTCTTAGGTTTTGCATGGACTGGTGTTTGATGATTACAATTACTACATAGTATTTTAAGGAATTTGTGTATCAGTCTTATCCATAAAGATTATTTGGTTCCTCTCCTCCAACCTACTAGGTCTCAAAGGGAAAGTTACTCTGTTGTTGGGATTCTTTAGGATTGATTGACATCCCAGAGGTACAGTGGGTTTGACATTGAGATACCTAAGAAGCAATTCAGAGCCAAAATTACTAGAGCAGGCAGCTGTCCAGCCAGCAGGTGGAGCTTGGCGCTGAATGGCACACTGGCTGCCAGGGACAGGTCACCACTCGGGGCTCCGAGTATGGATATGATCCTGGCCTGGCACCCAGAAACAGCCAAAATGCTCCTGGAAGTGTAAATCCCCAGGTCCCAAGCTCGCCCCCTCCACAATCCCATCCATCACTCCATGATGGCGGTGGCAGGTGGGGCCTGGGTCCCCCCAGCCCTTCAAACTTCCCTCTTTGGTGTATTCACCTTGAAGGGAGCAGTCTCTGGAGTTAGGGCAGCCCCAGGACAGGTCACTGCATGAATGTGATGGCTGGAATTGTGTCTCCGAGCATGGACACGATCTTGGCCTGGAACCCACCACAAAGATTCTTAACTTTGGCATTATTAATGCTTTAGAGTTGCTAATCTTTCATTGTGCAGTCTCTTCTGTGGATTATAGGATGTTTAGGACATGGTTGGCCTTCACTCACTAGATACCAGTAGCACCTGCACATTTGTGACTGCTTAAAATGTTAAAATATCTCTGGATATTTTGAAATGGCCTCCTTGTAGCAAGATTGTCCTGGTTAACTTAGGGTGACAGTTTACAAGGTCTTTATTAGTAGGAAGTCTCTGACTCTTTGAGACTGTGCTGGAGTGATAATCAAATCTGGATATGGAGTCAGAGAAAAAAAAAATTGTGTTTGAATCCTGACTCTACTGTTTGTGGAATATTAGACTTTGGGTAAGATGTTTAGTTTGTTTGAGAATGAATCCCTAATCTGTTAAGTAGAGATGATAGTGCATAACTTTTAAGATGAGTGAAAACCAGGGAATCCATATGTATAAAGAATATGGCATGTGATAACATACTCTGTAATGTGTAACCTCATTGTGTTTACTGATATACAAAATAAAGCTGGAATTTTTAATGGTCAGAGAAATACAAACTGTCCTGTAGTTCTCTGTTAACATATGCTTTGTAGTTCTGGTTTTTCCATCACCTGTATTTCCATCTCAGTCATTCTTATATTGTACAGATGAATTATTTATGACTAAAGGCAAGAGACTGGGAAAGTGAAAAGACGAGTGGTGAGAGATCTGGAGAGAGGTTTCCTGGAGGGATCATCTATTGGAGTGCTCAAAGTACAGGCATCAGCAACTAATTTAGTTTCTTGATGTGACCATGTGGAAAATTATAAAGGACCCTGTCAGTCTCCCATCATTCTAAACTCCATTCTGCACTGGCAAGTGCCAAACGCACCTTTTGTCTTTTGCTTTGGGAGACAGTGACATTGCTTTTGTTATTCGGAAATGAGGCTGACAAAATGTAAAATTTGTTTTCTTAGGAAGCAGCTTAGAAAACAGTCAAAAGACTAGCACAATTTTCTGGTTGGCTCTTCAGTATGAATCCCTTCTGAGCTGAATCTGAACTTAGAAATAAGACCAGGCTCAGCAAGAAACGGTAGAGATCAGTTGGTTGATACTACAGATCTGACATCCCTTTTCATCCACCACATCTGTAATTCAGAGTTTCCCATGTCTACTACATGCTGGCAATTAAGAAGCTCTTGTCCAATAACAAAACAAAACACACTTGCATTTTTTTAATTGAAATTGTTCTGAGTATTGGAATTTCACTCATGTATGCAACCCTCTTTTTCTTCTGTTTGTCCTCTTCCTAATTTTTGTCACTTTCATCATAGAACCCAAGGTTAGAGATAGATACAAGAGGCCATCAAATTCATTAATTGAAGTGCATCCAAACCATTTGTGATTTGTGATGTGTTAGATTGTCCTGTCATTGAATGATTTAAGGGATGGAGCTCATTGCTACACAATGCAAGATGCTCAACTGATGAACAGTGGGTGCTAATTGTTAGAAGCACAGCTCCTTGCTCTGTTTTGCAATCAGTGATCCTTCTACAATTTTTGAGGATCTACTGTGTCCCCTTCCAAATATGAAAAGAAATATTGTTAACTCTTTCCAGTATTATTTCATTCAGTATAAGCTTTTTTCAGTTTGCTGCCACAAGCCAAAACACCAGATGTAGCAAGCCATGCAGGTTTCATTCCAACAGGGAAAATGGCCATGGGGACAAGTACAGTGGTAGAAAGAGGGAACCAAGACATCTTCTGCCATAGTGGCAGGAATGGGCTTCAGGGGAAGTAGGTTAGAGGGGGAGAGCAAGAAGAAGTATGGCAAGCATGTGGGAGTGTGCCATTATGGCTGAGGGCAGGTGTCGGGGCCATGAGGGATTGCTAGATAGGGACGTGGGTGGGCAACAAGGGGTTGGTGGATAGAACTGTTGGGGCCACAGGGAACTGGTAGGTACAGTGGTGAGCAAGGACTAGGGGGAGGAGCTGCAGTAGATTGACAGATAGGGCCTTCAGGAATGGTGCCATGAGGTTACAGTGGATTGGTTGGAATAATGTTGTGAAATTACAGTAGATTGGCAGACAACAAAATTTTAACCTTACGGGCATATGAATCTTAAGGAAGCTGAGATTTAGAGGAATGAGATATTTAAAATTGTGTTGATTCCAAGTGGCTGGGGTCTTAGGGCCAATGTTCACATCATTTTTCAGAAATAAATCTTTCAAGGAGTAGATTTTTATGATGGTGTGCTAAGTGGGTGTACATGATTAATTTAGGAAATAAATTCTTTTTTAAAAGGTTCATTAGGGCCCTGCGCGGTGGCGCAAGTGGTT